AATAGGCGCAGCACAAGTTTTCTAATGTTGTCACACCCACTCTGACGCACACAAACCGCCCAAAAATGGCAAGCCCACATTTTTAAAAAATGTTCTACTATTTATACCCGTTACTCGTAGAGTAAAAGGGTAAGCTCGATTCGTTGAAAAGTATGTAACAGGCAGAAGGAAAAGATTCCGACCAATTAAAGTATATATATTCTTGATCAGGATCAATAGCCGAGTCGATCTGGCCATGTCCGTCCGTTGTCCGTCTGTCCGTATGAACGCCTCGACCTCAGGAATCTAGAATGTTGAGATTGAGCATGCAGTTTCCAGATACATAGACGCAGTGCAAAACTCTCACACAAAAAATTTTTAAGTGTTTTTCATTTTATAATATTATTTTTTACAACATTTTTACCGATATTCCAGAAAATTTTGAAATTTCTCTTACACTAGCTGAGTAACGGGTATCTGATAGTCAAGGAACTCCACTATAACATTCTATCTTGTTAAAATTTGTGTTTGATTTTTTTTATATAATAAGATAAAACATAATCTGTATAATCTGTAAGGACGTATTTGATAGCCTCATTTTTATTTCATTATAGAGTCATTGGCTCTACGGAATAGTTTTAAATGGGATTAATTGTAAAGTGTTGGAAAATGTATTCTTGGCTGCCGTCTGGCAAAAACGCGAAATGGATGTGACTTGTATTTTTTTAAGGGAATTTTAGTGGATTAAGACATCCATATTAGGCTAATTTTATTACCCGCCAAGTTCTCTTTTGGGGCCACAATCGTGATTTCGAATTGACAAATCCAATTTCGTTGCCTAATTTTCCGCCTACAGAACCGTCATCAATGGTAATTTAATTCAGATGAGTTTAAAATGTGTTAATTACATATGGGAAATTACGCACTGGGCTCAATTGTGCATTGGCGGCCTAAAGGTTCCACTGCCCCTGGGCTCGTAAGCTGTGCAAATGTTTATTTCTGCGATTCAGGTCAAGCCATTTGACCAGGTTGCATCTGGTCAAATAGAACTCGGCAACCCGAGCGCCTATAAAGTAGCGATCATTGCGACAGCTTGCGAACTTTAACTCGCAACCATGGATATCTCAGTGCTGTGGCTCTACCTGGTCCTTGTGTCCGCCCTGCTCATCTTCTTGGTGCCCACTGTCGAGTCCACCTTGCTTCTGTGGGCCTGTTTGTACCGGCTGGAGATCTGTCCCTTTAGGACCACCACCACTAAAACAAGATAAAACAGGAGATTAATAATATTTCACTCCAGACTATTTCCACGGTCAATAAAAAGGAAATCAAAAATATTTTGAACATTCTTAATATTCTTCGTCCGATGTCCAGGGTTCTCACCATCAAGGATATGGCTGGTTTCAAAAAGATACATCATACTCCGACAACAGAATCCGCTCATCGGCCTGTCCTTTGCCTTTTGCGGCAAGGCAAAGTTATCAGGCAAGTGTGAAGTTTGTCATTAGCTACTTGCGCTAATTAGGAGTAAAGCTCCTTCGGCGGCTTTTATTTTGGCGGCTGTCAGTACGTGCCCTGGTTTGGTAACTCCAAAGAGAAACTTCCGCTTAGATCACGTCGTTTCGGGTCACTTAAGCGAGTTTCCGTGGAAGTGGAAGTGCCACTGCCTCGCAATGTGCGGTCGGATTCAATGTATTTGCTTTCGTTGTATCTCAATTAGTCAAAGAGAACTCAAGCGAACTTCACGCTACTTACTTACCTGCGGTACTTACCTGTTCAGAGAAATCAAATTGTAGCCTTGCGAGAAAAACGAAATAAATATATAATTTAATACCCATTAAAAGAGCGAAATAGGAAAAATATTTTGGCAGCTCTTACAAACACGTATCTTCTTATTTAGTTGGCAATGATAATAATAATAAGTTGATGTAAAGATTGCAGAAAGTTCCTTGCTAAATGTTTATGACACTCCTTAATTTGAATTCAAAGTCAATATACTTGTATGTCTGTGAAGTAGATCATGGCTTCACAATAATATAATATTACCGCTCTGGTTTTCAACATTATACGAGTATAGATAGCTCACCAACGGCTCTCCAAAATGTAATTATTTCTCAGTTTAAGACCAGTATCCGTCTGTTCAGTAACTGTTGTATGTTGTTGTACGTCTAGAAAGTAAGAGTGATATTGGGAGAGGCAGATGTTTTAAGTGCGGAAATGTTTATCAAGTACTTAGAAAGTGTTTCATGTGTTATCTGTTCTTCCGCTATGAGAGAAGCCGCTGAAAATGTCTATCCATTTTCAATCAATTATTTCAATCCATATAAACGGAGAGTCAAAGGCTGCTGCAAAATATGTGGGCGATTTGCATTCGAAGCGCTTATTTGTCGGTCGATTTCTACCAATTCAGCCAGAACAAAGGCAGCTCATCATGGTAACGCGGAATAAAATTTAAAAATTCCCAAAGAGGAGCCAAGCGAAATACCCAAATTCTGCCCCGACTGTTTAATCCACATTCCCATTTTGATTGCTTTCAATTGGCATTTGATTAGAACCGAACGAGACACTACAAATGCATCTTACGATGGTCGGGAAATAATGCTCATTCGAATTCGCAGGTGGGCGTAGTAATTTTCGGTCATGCGAACTCGCACTCATAGGATAACAATTTTGGGCTAACAGAAATGGAATTTGAACCAGGCCGCAAAGCGAGTTTCCCGGAAACAGAGGCAAAACAGGGTTGAAATTGGCATCTGGGGACTAAGCAGACATAAATACCAAATGGCCCGAAATAGCGACGCTCAGTTAAAGCTACAACCCATTTAAAATTGTTAAAGCATTGTGTTCTTGACGGAATTTACCCCTTAGGTTTGGACAGACAAACATGGCTAGATCGACTCGGATAATAAATAGCTTCCTTCTGCCCGTTTTATGATGATAGTGTTGGTTATCAAATTATGCCACTGGAAGCCCTTTGGTTAAAAGTGGACATTTATATTGGGTAACAAGTTTGCCTGCATTTAAATTAGCTTTCACCTGCCATTTGATGTCCCATCAGGATCGAAGTTCGCCTTCGGTTTTCCAGCTCTACGGAGCATACACGCATTCAGTTTTCAATTTCGGGGTGACAATGGAATCAAATCGATGTAAAGTCAACTTTAAGTGTTTGAAAAGGTGTAAAAATCGAAGTGTGTAGCGGCTTGCTTAGAGGCGCCACAATGTTGCAAGCTGTCGTCGCCAAGTCGTGTCAAAGTTTCCCCGCCCTTTCCAAACGACTTTTTGCTGTGTCGCCAGGCATTGGCAGCCTGGGGCGGAATGGTAAACTCGGGATGAACCTCGGATGAACACGTGTTCCAGCACAGGAGAATGGGCAACGGATGGCGGGGAGGCTGCTCCTATTGCTCCGAGTCGTATAAAAATACCCCGGATCGTAATTCAAATTTACCGAGTGCAAACAGCGGGGAGATTGCAATTAATTAAATATCACTCATACGTCAGGTAGTCCGGCATGTTCGACTGGGAGCGTGGGACGCCCGTGAGATGGCCGAAAAACGGCGTGGGACAGCCTACGTGTCCGAATGCGTAATGGGATTGAAGGTGCCACGTGGGCGCCCTCCAATCGGGGAAAGCAATTTTAAACAGTAAGCCACAATTGATTGAGTTTCGTAAGACGAGATTGACTCTGACTAAGTTGGTTAAAGCCAATGAAGTGCCTAATAAAGCGAAGACATTCATTCTTTGTCAATGAAATTGCATTTTGCCCAGTTGCTCTGAACTCTTTTCCTTATTTTGGTCTTGGGTAAATATGTTTTTAGTGCATTATCGTATTTATTGGGCGTGGGAAGGGCAGCAAAAGAATTCACTCCATCATCCAGATGCGGTGGTGTTGAACGGACAGAGTGGTGACCTCAACAGGCACGCAAGCAGGACGAAGCACCCATCTGCAGTGGGAGATAGGAAGGCCATGAGGATGGCCAGGAGCACCAAGTAAAAACACACCGTTGTGGCAATCATCTTCGCTGATCTTGGCTTCGAACTCAAGGGTCGAGAGTTGGCCTCCGGCTTTTATACTCGCTTACCGGTCCGAATGAAGCTTGATGAGTGATGAGGTCGTAATGCAGCTGTCATTTAGTAAACAAATATGAGTGTTGATCTTTACCTGATCAGCGTTTTCAATACAAAATTGTACATATTTGTAACGCTATTCTTAATTAAACTTCTTACATAAGTATGTTATTGAGATGTTCATTTTCATTAGGTGGCGACACAACTTTTGCTAGGTGCATCAAATGCAGAGTTGGAGCTCTTAGGCTCTGCGCAATATTATCAGAGCAAGGACATTTCCAACTGCTCGTATATACAAAAACACCAAGTACTGGGAAATAAAGATTGGGTTTGGGCATATTTAAGAGTTGTCTGACTTAAGCTGTTTGAAAGGGTTCTGACAGCCAGGGGAGCCATCGCACCCACCCACAGGTGTGCCAAACATAAGTCAAAAGAAGCTTCTATAAATAAAAGTAAAAATAAGCAGGGCCACGCGTGCACTGCAAATTATTTGTGGGAAGTGAATGGCTGATAGAGCGTACTCATGAATGAAATTCAGCAAGCAACAGATGGGTGCCACACTGAAGGGCAAGGGGCGTGCGGCGTGGGCAGAGCATCTTAGACAGTGATTGCCTTCATCTGGTGGACAGCACATGCGCAGTTTTGAGCACATGGTGGACTCCGTTCGCAATTCACTTTGTACTGGACTTGGCGCACTTTTTGGACCCCGCGGGTTCGTGTGGATCCCATCAACGACGCAGACTTTAGCGCCGGGTCCGCCGATTTGTGCTGGTTAGTCCTGTGCATGGAATCGGCGATAACGGTCGAGGTCGTTCGCTTGGTGGTCACAACGCCTTCTGGTCGCGAAACGAAATTCGACAACCCAAGTGCGAGTATAATCTGCACTCCGAACTCGCTTAGAGTTATGTCTTAAAACGAGCTGACTTTTGGTGGATTTGCTGTTGGATTTACAGTTGCCCGCGTTGTTTTGAAAATCAAACATTCCAGAATATTGCCCTGCATTCCCAAACAAACTATTTCGGGACAAGTGCTACAGCCGCGGAACCAGTGCAGTCGACTAACTGGCTCGCGTCATTCGCTTGCAGTAGAGCAGTGACAGATATTTCCGTTGGTGAGTTTTAGATACATATGTAGCCATATTTGGGGGAGTTGGGCAGTACGCAGTACGCTACAAAAATGTATAAGGCGTGTGCATCCCAAAATATGAATCACCTCCACCCCGTCCTCCAAATTTACTTTTCTTACCCGTTTCTTTCACCTGTCTTGCGCCTTCTGAAAAACCCAAGCAACGTTGAAAGTTTTCCGATGTCAGGCAAGCTGAAATTTTAAATTGTTTATTTTCTTAGGAGGAACACAAAAACTCTTTGTTTGAATGCGAAAAAGTTTGTTGTAATTAATTAAGGACGTCAGAACGTGTCGTTTCCCTGATGTTTTCCCATTTCTAATAAGTCATCTTTTGGTGGTGTCTACGCCAACGTTACTTTTCAGTTAGCAAAGCTCAATTTTTGTCTCAAATTAAATCATTTCCTAACTTAATATATTTAATTACAACCCTTATGAATTTGAAATTACTGATTATCCTCTGCGGACATAAAAGCCGAGTCTGGCAACAAATTATTTCATAATTTGACAGAGTATCTTAGGCGGTAAGAAGATGAACTCAAGTTATTGGGTTCCATATCTGGACTCGCAGTGTTGTATTATTTTTTTTATTAGGCCGGTGGGGTCCCGAATCTAATTAGCCACTGGGGGCCTCGCATCCGGACCTGAGACGAAGCAAAAAAGGCAATCCTTTAAAAGTTCCAAATAGGGCACAGTTCTTATGGTCCCGGACTTAAGCCCTAAATTCCTTCGACACCAAATCCCTGGCTTGATGAGATTTGGTTCGTGTCAGTGTCACTTCAGGTAAATGTCTATTCCAGATGATAGCAGCGGATGCCGGCCGAGAATTAGCATGTTCGTTAGTCAATCAGTCGCCAAATCAACAATCCGAACGTGACAGCGCCACATCAGCGAAGATCACATCAGGTTTGTCACTCACCTTTGGGGGCTGGAAAGTTCTTAGCTCGGCGGGGGAAGCTATGAACGTATAATTAGGCAGCGCAATCAGTGCCAGAGCCAGATATTCAGACCCTAAACTCATAAATATAAATTTGGCTAATTAGTCTGCGTTGCTTGTGTGATATTGTGCTTGTAATTGGTAATATGAATTGATGGCGCCGCAATTGAAATTATCACGCATACGACGCGTTGCAGCGTCTCGCTTTTTGTAGTGGAAAAAGTTCCGCTGCAAGGATATCCGACTCCCTACTTGCCGTCTAATTCTCCAAGGTGTCCCCTTGGTTGAGAGCCTGGTTCCGGAACCCTTTCCATCTCCAACTCCTCCTTTGGGCCTCACCTTTCGGTGCTATAAAAGTTATGCGGTGAACAAAATGGAAACGGCGCACGACGCCCACAAATCGCAAACCTACGAGCCCGCAGGGCCATATTTGTTAGCCGCCTGCACTTGACTATCATGCGTTTATGATGTTTGGGCTCTTACACTGAGCCGAAAATCGTCTTTCACAATCATTAAAAAACATAAGTAAATTTCCAATCGCCTACTGTTGTATAGCGATTTCCGTGTCTGTGCCAAGCCAGTGTTTCTATTTAGCTTTTGAGATGAGAGCTACATATTTTCTATCCGTTCTTCCCAGTGTATCTGTGTGTGGCACATTTGCTCATGTAGGCAAAATACTGTGCGGTTGTGGCGCTGCGAGCGGATTGAATTAGTAATCTCTGAAAAGTTATCACTTGTCAGCTGCTGGCCGCCGCCTCAATGGTCGAGATCTAAACATATTCTCTGTGATGACAGATGCGAATTTTATGGTTAGTACACATTCGTTTGAAGACCTTTTAAAGTGAAGATTGAGTGGTTTTTCGCCGATGCTAATGGACTACTTATGCAAGGATTGAAGCTCGGCTTCGGCTGCCTTACACTGCGATTAATTAGGCCATAAATAGCAGAGGGCCAAGTTATGCAGAATGGTGTGCAATCCTTGCTTTGATTTCCAAGCCGAACCATTTATGTCAGCAAAGGAATTTTCAGAAGCAATTTCCATAGCAACTTTTCCGCCCGAGGCGTTCCGCAGTTCCAGGGGTAGTTTGTCTCCGCTTTCGGATTTAATACAAGTTTTTGAACTTTCGCATTTTGTTCCTGGCATTTAATTGCCTACAACTTAGGGCAAAGCTTGGCGCAGATTTTGGTAGATGTTTGAAAAGCGCCGAATATTTATGTGCTGCTTAAGGTGCTGGCAGTCTTTCTTCGACTTTCTCGATTTTATACTTCATGCTGTGTACATAATAATAAATTATATTTTTGTTGCGAAAATGTCAATGCTAGCCCACCAAATTGATATTTATGTCTACACAAAGCCATTTATAGATTTTTTTTGGATACAAATTGCTGGGTGGCCCAAAGATTACGCTTTCCACCCTGCTTTCATTGATTGCTGTATAATTTATTGATGAAAATTAATTGCCGACAACATTCCAATCTTCTTATGAAATTTCTGCTGTGCGATTCCGTTTCCGACTTAAGCTCTTTAAACTTATTGACAAGTTTTGTTTAATGGCCGAAATTTAAGGAAAGCGTCTTAGATTCTTATCGACGTATTAATTTTATTGTTTCCCAATTTGATTTTCCGGAGCTTTCAACGCCGTCAACTACTTGAAGAGTAAAAGGGTACACCGGAATGTCACAGTTTTTATGTACTTGAACGTAAAATTGTGGCCATAAGCCCAAATACCAGTTAAAATATGTAATATAATAGTGTAATCAATTATGAAGGTAGTAAAACTTACCCACAGATGGCGCTTTTTCCAAGCCAAATGTAGTGGAGTAGCCGGTATCCGACAGTCGCAGCACTTCTTGTTTTTCCCACGACAAGTGTGGCGGATTTAATTTGATATATAAAACTGATTAATGTCGGCGCTGGTTATTAATGGCCATAAGGCTGCGGAGGCCCAGTGCCCAGGCTCATGCTCTGATTGCGCCGAAGATGAGCTTGGGCGAGCAGCATAATTAGGGTGATGTCCTTGCCTCCTTGCCTCCTTGCCGCCCGGAGTCCCTGTTGACCGATGAATATGCAGCAGGCCACGTGCCGCGTATGCCTCCTCCACTCGGTAAATAAATTCCGTAAAGCGGTCATTAGCATGGCTCACCTCTTGCACAGGATCCTCGGACTCTTAATTAGTTGATATGCCATGTGGTTCGACGCGGCCGACATCTTTCCGGGCTCCATTCGCACAGGATGCCTTACGGGTGCAAAACTACGACAGCTGTCGTAGTCTGTCTTCGGTCTTCTGTCCTAGCTTCGAGTGTCATTTGGATGCAGCCTGCTGACGCAGAATGGAATTCAATTACCGCTCCAGTCAGCTGGGCCGATGGGAGCAAGACAAGGCATAAATAGGATATTAAGTAAGCGAAGCAGATAAGCGTAGGAAGCGACGGGCACGATTCAATCTGGGGAGCCGCCAGCCGTCAATTCCTGACACGCGACACATGCTCAATGAAGCTCGAGGAACTGACGCGTGCACTGTCTGCCAATCCGCTCGAGTTTTGTCCAGGAGGCAGGACTCACCTGTCTCCCAAAAAGATATTACTCATTTGCCGCCTTTTCATCCTCTGAGCGATGCTGGGCGCTCTTGGCGCTTGATAAATGATAGCTTGACTGCCGCACAATCATTGACTGCGATTGTTCGGCTGGGCTACTAATGCTATAAATTTGACTGAATCTGGAAGGCCGAATGATTTATTGAAGGCCCTAATTCACTCATGTTCTTGCTAGTGTTGTCACTTCGCAATCAACTAGTTAAAGGCGAGTGATGATCAATTTTCGATTGATGCGCGGTGAAGGTTAGGCAAACAAGAAAAGTTACTCCTTGCAAGGACATAGATGTTTGCTCAGGCCAAATCAGAGTTCCTCGGTCCAGCTTAAGTGTGAGATGCGGACTAACAAGTCCGTTTGGCCTCCTGTACTCGTTTATCAGAAAATCGTTGTCAGTTCCTCCCTTTTAAATCTGCTTGGCTGACTGTGTACAGAACACAGTATGCCATAAATAATCCCAATCAAAAGGCCCTTTGTATCTGAACCTTTTACTCTTTTTGCGTCTCACGCATTGGTCCCACCTCTTTGAGGCCAAAATTGTGAGTTCGCCTTTCCCAATTCAGTTAGCAAATAATGCGATTCCAAGGGCGTGTAAAGAAAATGAAGGAAATTAAGCAGGCAACAAATGATTAGTTTGCATAACGGTTCTAATTTAGAATCCATGTTTGCCGCGGAGTCCAAAGGTCTCCCTTGAGTGGAATGGCCTTGTTTCCATCACGTGCAACACGTGTAAGATGTGGTTGCTTTGCCGAATCTCAGTTTTCCCGGCAGTTTTCCCGCTTGGTTGGCACTTAATTCATTTTAGCTGATCAAAAGTGACTTGAGCTAAGTGACTTGAGCTAAACCACAAACCGCAGCCGGCTGTTTGACTACTCAAATTAGAACTCCAGCTTTTGGAAGGTGGAATAAGAAGCTACATGTTACATTAAACATCGATAGTAATTAATATTTCATCTCAACATGGGTAATACTAAGTGCATTCCACGTTAACCACCTTCCCGAGGAGCACAGAAAAAACTCACGATGATCGACCACAAAGATTGTGTAGTAATACCAAGTAAGATTCCGCATCTGAGCAATGATCTCCACCGTCATCATGGCCATCAGAAGATCTGACATAAAGCAACCCAATTTGCCATAAACAATCTACATTCTACCGTAAACAACTCGGAGCACGGACATGGATGTCTGGGCGGGAAAGCAAATATTTACAAAACACTACATTCTGATCGGGCGGAGTCCTGGCCAAATGGCTGGCGTGGACCACATGAAATCAATTAAAATATTCGGCCAACTGTTTCCAGCACATAAAAATGCGTTGAGTGGGAACGTGGACCTGATAATAAAAAGTAATTGAAAGTGGCCGCGAGATGCGACCATAAAAAATGTGTTTCCGCCGCGTGGCAACATGACCATACCCATACACATAAAGATTCAGCTATCCAGAGAGGGATGCAAACATGAACTGCTGACTTCGGGAAATAACAGCGATAATTGAAAATTACCCAAATAATGAGAGTAGCCCCCCGCCCCGTTTTTTCGGTACCAATCACGCGCCAAGCCAAAACCAAAACAAAGCGAAAGCCAAACGCCTCAATCAGAACGCCTCCCTTGGCCATCGTGGACAGGGGAATCTCGAGGGGCACCGCTGGCACAGCTGTCCATCACGTTGTCGATGGAATGCTCACTAGTCGAACGAAAGTGAAAATTAATTAAAATACTGAACGGCTTGGGTTTCCCGCCCGTTCTCTCCGCTCATGAAAGTGCGAGTCCGCATATTTTTCGCTTTCCGCATTTTCCTCGCGCTGCCAGCGGAGCGGAGAGCGAGGAATGCAAATATTTGCCAAATAATTAATCATGCCACTTTGCGGACCAAAATCTCTGACAGATCAGCGCGAAACGCCTACGTCGGTACCACTCGCCACGCTGGGTTCCCAGCCAGCCTGCCTGCCAGCTACTGATAAGGACGCACAGCTTCATCATCGCAGGCTGCTCAGGACTGAAGCTGACTGCCGACTGCCCAGATTACGGCCCATTTTTAAATAGCGGCGACAGCTGAAGTTGTCTACAGCGCTGGATGACGGATGGACGCACCAGGCCCACATGGTGCAGGTAGCAGCCTGGGCACTGGGCCAATCCGCCGATTGGTCATTGGCCAGCACCTCGAAATTAGCCTAATCAATTTCCGCACACGCAGCTGCTCCCGCCACACGCCCACTCCATACATGGACTGCTGTTCGTGATTCGGTTTATTGTGCCCAGTCAGCGAACTTTTGGCGGCGGCAGAGAGGCGCGGGTGGGCACGTACAGGAACTCGCTGTCCGTCCAGAAGTCCACCAGGGAGCGCTGCTGCGGCCGGGCGTCCAGGTGCGCGAAGCACCTGGCGAAGAGCTGGCCCTGCCTGACCTGACGCATATGACCGGCCGCCACCTCCGACATGAATTTCTCCACCGACGCATCCTGACCACGGCTGCCACGCTCCGGCACCGCTCGCAGCCGGAGCGTGTGCGTCTCGGCGGGGTTCACGTCGACGAGCACGGTGTTGGTGGCCTGCCGGTTGTAGACACTACGGCTCGGCACGTTGTCCACGAAGACGTCGAAGTGGTCTACGCTGTCGAGGTCATGGGTGATCCACTGCAACGAGAGCGAGCCTGCGCTCAGCCTGGTCGCTCCACAGATGGTCACCGGGTAACTGTGCCGCGCTGATGGATGACGGCGGGTGCCGTGCAGGTTGGACTGAACCTGGCGGCGCACTTCCGACAGCGCGCAGAGGTCCATGAAGAAGTTCTTGGCCAGTAGCTTCGCCTGCAGGCGCTTCTGTCCCTCGGGCGACTTGAAAAAGTCCGCCCTCTTGACCGCCCGACGCATGTCCTGGCAATGGTGACAGTTGCAGTGCTTCTGATACGTCTGGCAACTGGAGGAGGCATCCTCGACACCGGCACTACTTTCTTCCGGCTGACTGTTCCCCGCCTCCTCCGGGCTGACCAGAGTGAAGGCGTACTCTACTTTGGCGGTGTCCTCGCTCTCCAAGGCGCTGGTCCGAGTGCCTCGACCTCGACTTGGTCTTCTGGGCGAACTACGGCGGTAGCTCTTCCTTGGCCGGTTCGTGGATCGTGATCGTGGAGAGCTTTCTTTCCTGGACGTGGTCGCTTTAGCTAGGTTCAGTCTTGAACTAGAGGTGGCCGAGCTTTTGGCAGCCACCTTGGGTAAAGGACTTTGCTTACGTCTCAGGCTCGATCGGCTCGATTGGCTCGAGCGCCGCGATCCCTCAGCAGAGTTGGGTCCGGATGAACTAACCATAGCAAATATGGGCCCCACTGCAGGCACGGACTGATTGCTTCGAGGTGTCATCTTGGGCGACTTTCTACGTAAGCTAGCGCGCGACGTCCCAAGTTTCGGGCGGAAGGATCTGCTGCTTGAACGATCTCTCGACGTGGGACGTCTTTGAGGGTCCGCTGCCTTCACCGGATCGGGAGAAATCTTCAAGGAACTGTTGCCGAATCCGCCTCCTGAGGGATCCTCCTCTCGTTCCGCGAGAGATCTCATGCTATTCAGTGCGGTGTTGGCGGAAGTGTCGGAACGGTAGTCCGCCTCCTCAGTGAGACCCACGGGCGTGTAGCCAGTTAGCGGGGTGATGTCAGAGAGGAGGTTGTAAAGGTCGTAGTTCGTGTTGTTGAATGAGTAGCTGGAGAAATGCGAGGTGGGCGTCATCTGAGAGGTACTGGGCACAGTGGTGCGGATGGGCACGTCCGTCAGAAGCGTATCATTGGACTTGCTCATATAGGGATTCTCCTCACCTGCGGTTTGGGAGCAGGAGGATGCCAGCGAGGGCTTGGAAGTGGACATGGAGCCGCTGCGCTTGATGAACTTGTGAAAGAGTTGCTTCACAGATGTTAAGGACTCCCCTGTCCCAACCAGAGCCACTGTGCTCCTAAGAAACTTCCTGATCGAAGCGGAGGTCGAACCGAAATTAACCGCATCACCAGAGTTTGAGGATCCATTTTGCAGCCAGGTGTTGCTCTCCAGGGCTGCCGTATCTGCGACTCCTGACAACCTCTCCCCGGAATCCTCCTTGCTGCGTTGGTTTAGGGAACTGTTGCTGGTCGTGCTGGTGTTGTTCCGCTGACCTGAGGTCAGGGAGCTTTGGCTGCTCTCTGGGTTCACAACCACAAACACTGGCGGTGCCATTGGCGTCCGAGCGCTTGATCCGCTTTTAATGGAACTTTTGACAGTGTGGCTGGGCATCGGGTTCCTCCGGCTGCCTGAATGAGCCACAGTCATTTCGTCGGGCAACATGATGCTCACCCGCTTGGACATACTGTTAATTTACTGAATACAGATTTGTGGAAACCTCTACGCTTGCAAAAGAAGTGTGTCTATCGAAATAATAAGTGTAGGCATTTCCAAACTGCCAACTGACACCAAGGCAACTTTACCTACCCCGTTTGGCACCAGGAGTCCGCCCCTTTTATGCACTCAATCATCTCTAATGGCGACTAATGGCTGGACCCGCTGGCAAGGTCGGGGTCCATCCACCCAGCCGGAAGCTAGTAGCCGAAAGACTGGGCCGCGATTGTGCATAATTTTGTCAGTGTTTGGAGCATTTAGAGGGCGGGGCGAATTTACATAACTCGCGGACCTTTCAGCTCGCATTAAAGATGGCCAACGCTGGCGTTGGGCACTCAAGCCGCCAGTTATATTTGGCTCTAATTAGAGCTGCAGGAGAAATATAGGTTGGCGTTGGGCGTTGGGCGTGGTAGGCTAGGAGTTCAACAGAGTTGGAGGTGCACCTTTGAGCTTGCCTGTCTTCTGGGCTTATTATTCGGCTTGGCTGCTCATAAAACAACCAACTGATTAACCGACACGCCGCTTTGCACACATGCCTCGTCGCCAGCGCTACAACCGGAGCACGCAAGTGTGTTGAATTATTTTTGCTTTATGATTTATCTAACACGTAATGCGGAACGCCCGCCATACATTGTCTCCTTGGGTTGGATTTCGTTTCTCCTCCAAAATCCAACGCCTTGGACAAAAGGCTGAAAAGGAAGACATGTTTTTCCCAGCCGTTCTTTGTATATGGAGTCACTGTGCTGTGGCAGAAGTAATACATCCCTGGTGGCAACATATAATGTCTGACTTGCCTTTTGCTTAGCGGTTGCTCGCAACGGGGCACCCAAGACATCCGCTCTTCGGATCTGGCTGCGGGTGGCAAATGCCCATTTCACCCGTGTCCCGCCATTGGAATTGCTTAGTGTCTGGTTTTTATCTGGCGTATACCAAATTCAGCTCGTACAACGACGCTAAATCATGAAAAAATGTTATTCATGTTATTCATAGGCCAAATGGGTGGCGCAGATGCGTTTTACAGTCACATCGTCTAATCTTAATACCCAAAAACACTCCAATGGAATAAATGAAGGTCAAATTAAAAATATTGTGTGTAATTAATTGAGGTCAATTGACGACATTGAAGGCCTGTCTGGTCAGTCAAGTTTAATCATTTCTCTTGTTGATGGCTGTTGCCTGCCCAGTGATCCCTTGGGACTGTCTGTTAAAGGAAATTGCTTGTCCACGGTCTAGGACTACGCGGAAAATGTAACTTTTTCGCTTTCGGCCATGAAAGACCTATCCAGAAGTTTGGCACAGGAAAGAAAAAGTTTCCTGATTTAGAAAAAAAACTGACATTCTTTGTTGTTGCCAGCAGCTATTTGACGTCTTTGGACTTTTTTAAGTTGACCTGCATTTATAGTGGACAAAAAAGGAAATGTCTTCCCTTACTTAAAGCCAGAAATGTAGATTTTTCCTAAAAATCCAAATCTTTTAAATATGTTAGGTTGAGCGGCTGATAACATTACAGAAGTTAGCCCCAACGATTAAATGTGCTTAGCCATGTGGTAACATTTTTCTACTCCAATTCTCCTCAAGACATGTGCTAAGACTTTTAAGCCAAGGCAAGGGTTCTATTGCCAAAAGTTAATGAGATTGGCATCGGCGAGGACATGGCTAAAACGCAATACACAAGCCGAAAGAAGATTCATTCACCCAGGCCGAAGCTTATATGTATACCTTAAAATAAATACTTATTTAAAACAAGATATAATGCTATTGTCGAGTTCCCCGACCATCAGATACCCGTTTCTCAGCTGGTGGAAGTACGAGCGAGATATTTCAACAATTTCCGCGATATCGGTAGAAATGGCGAAAAACAAAAATGTGTAGGCGTGGCAGTATTGAGCGGTTGGAGTGGGCGTGGCAGATCGACTCGGCTATTGATCCTCATCAAGAATATATCTACTTCATATGGTTGGAATCTCACCCATAGTTTACCCCAATTTCTACAGACATAATTGCACATAATGTTAAAATTTATCGTTCGCACTCAGCTGAGTAACGGGTATCTGATAGTCGGGTGACTCGACTACAGCAATCTCTTTTGTTTTCGAAATAAAATGGCACTATTTGCAAGGGTTGTTCAGGCGTGAGTCTACTTTGCCAAACCAAAGTGAGAATAAATCGGTCATCTTGAACAGTAATGCCAACTTAGAGGTCTATACCTCGAAACGAAAGGAAACAAACCATTTTATATGATTATATGGTCGCAATTGTGTCTGTTACTACATTGCTGACTGAAATCAATATACCCGCTGCAATGGTGCAATTTACTTGTATGACCTCCTTTCGAAACAGCAAAGTAGCCACAGCTGTTGCATTATTTAGATCGAGATTAATTTTTCGGATTCAGCTTTTCGGATGCAGCACATCGTCAGCGGTTAAAGCGCCTGACTCCATTAGGCTCCCGGGATGCACTTTCACTTAGCCTGGTTGATTAGATTTTCCAGAAATAGTCTCACGAGCTGGAACTTGATGGAATTTCATTTGGCGAATGGGAGGCACGCACTCGTAGGCCACAATCAAAATAAATAAATAACGAAAACGACATCAATGGCAGCTCACCAAATGGCGGCGATAGCTAGTATCGAATCGAAATTGAAACGCGGAGCTGGTCGGACCCATCACCAACCATCACCAACCATCGCCACCCATCGCCACCCTCGCAAGCTGACAGCAGACCAGATAAACCCGCCTTAGAGTCTGTCTTAGTCGGGCGTCAGGCTCAGCCCTGCTTTATTTAGGATAACGCATTTGATTGCGACTTGAAAGTATTTGCTTCCGCACGAATGTTTTCGCATTAGTGGGATTGCGGGTCCGGAAGCGGCAACTGAACGGCGGGAGAGCGTGAAAGATAATCAAGGTCGAAGGGCAAGAGAAAGGGCCACAAATAATTGGTTGTTGGAAAGAGTCTGATTGTCGCACAGCAGATACTTGCTGGGGGGAATATGGAATATTTCGAAATTTATGATTATGGGCGCTGTAAAGTCGTATTGAATGCACGCATGGGCAGCGATTGCATGTTAAGGAGATTCTTTATTATGCCGATACGCACACGACACGGTTCAGATGCCGTATCATAAATTCTATTTGCCACCCGATGCACACGCTGCACACGCTGCGTATGCGTGTTATTTATGCCTCATAGGCCTCATAGGTAATGCATTCCTGTCCAGAAAGGCCGCAGCGCGTGCTCTGCGGAGGCAAATGCCCACCGATTAAAGTTTAACTGAATTAGTCTGGACTGAATCTCTCTCTTTTTGTCTTTCTATCTCACTTTCTCCGCAACAGCTTCCGGCGCCAACTGGCGAAAACCGGGCCAGCGAGCTCAGTGGTCGCGGCCAAACACCATGTGCAAAATAAAACACGAGCCCGTGGCAACTCCAGCAGCAACCTCATCGACATAAGCACGGGGCACAGAGGATTAGGCGGAACCTGCAGCTTTCCGCTTTCGACGGACAGCGCAGACACACGGAAACGGAAGTGGCCAGAGCGAGGCCATAAAACGCAGCGCATAGGAACAGTATTGAGACATCAGGCAGCTCCAGGAGCAGCGCCCCGCACATGTACGCCGCCCTGATGGACGTGGGCCAGACGCTGGCAGCCAGGCTGGCAGATGGTGAGGGCAACGACAGCGGACTCCTGGCAACGAGACAAGGTCTGGAGCAGGAGCAGGAACAGGAGCAGGAGGGTCTGGCACTGGGGATGGCCCACAACGCCAGCGCCGACGGCGGAATGGTACCGTATGTGCCCGTGCTGGACCGCCCGGAGACGTACATTGTCACCGTGCTGTACACGCTCATCTTCGTTGTGGGAGTCTTGGGCAACGGCACACTGGTCATCATCTTCTTTCGCCACCGCTCCATGCGCAACATACCCAACACGTAAGTGGATATATGACGCACTGTGGGGGTCCGCAGAAGGTGGGCACTGTGTGGAAGTAGGCAGGGGGCCTGGAACAACATTTATTGAAGGTCTTCCGCTTTGATACGGTCTGCGTCTTTGGGCACCGCCCTCTCCGGGCCATAAATAATAATGTCTTTATATGGCCGCACATTTGGACCCAAAATGAGCTCGTCACTTCGCGATGGAGCGCGACAGTTGCTACTCCAGCTTATAGGCTACATCTGATTTTATTGTCGTTTTGTGCTTTAACTTCGTACCCCTTAGAGTAAATTTTTTTTTCTTTTTTCTTTTTCTTCTCTTTTTATTTACAATCTGTCTTAAGCAAGTATGAATTAACAGAGGCAGTAGTTATCCATTAAGCCCTACTACATACTCTATGCATACCATGTTTTAATACTTAATGCCTGTCAGGGAGATCTGGAGTAAGTTAAAGAAAAGCTTTTTAATCCTTGAAGCAAACAGCAAATGTGACAAGCCATCTGTCGTCTGCGATTGCCGACAATAAACTAACACTTCCTGCGCAGAATAAAAACATTGTTTGGTTTCACATAATCTCCTTCCGATTTGAAGATATCCAGCTCATCTCTATTGCTAAGCTGACAGTCCGTGCTCGTAAACATGCGAAACTTAAAAAAAAGTTATGCCCCTACGCAATGTGGTCTTAGAAACCCCGCATTCATCCCTGACAATCTACGAGCTGTATTCCACCCTATTTGTGTTGTTTTCTTTCTTGGACAAGAGAACTACGAGGGAAAGGCAACCCGACAGCTGGCAGTGGAACTCTGGGAGGAGGAGTCTGCTATGCAAATGTTTATTAACTTTTAAACTTGTGCAGGCTTGTAGCAGAAATTCAAATGTACATCGAATCAAAAGTTTCTGGGCCAAGCTGTTGGCCTGTCAGCAGCAGCTAAGGAAGCCGTTTCCTGAGCTTGGTAGCCACTGTCTCTCTCGAAGGGAATAGGTCCTTTCGTCTTGGACCACCTCTATCTGTTAATCTGTGAGTGGTTATAAGTTTGCACTGATTGCCCGAAAATTGCCTGCACACTCAACTGAGTGCCTGATTGCAGTGAGCCAGTAGTTGCCAGTAATTGTGATGGCCAACGTAATCGTCCGGCCATTGGTGGAAAGTTAGCAGTTAGCTCGACGACTTTGTCGCGACTGTTTGTCTAGACACGATGACTGGGACGTGTCAGGTTGGAATTCATGTCACATGCAATCAGCCAAAGCCAGCAGTTCTAATGATTCCCCCGTCCGAGGGCTCAACGCTCGTCCTGGAACTCCGGCCGGTTCACAGGAGGTCGTTGGTGTCAATGTCAAGCTGTTTTGCTCTCAAGCGTTCCTTTACTCTGCTCTGAACAGCATTCGGGTAAGGCGGTTTCAAACGGGTTGGGGCGCATTTGTGGGCGTGTGTAGGTGTCAGGACCTTTCCAAACGATTGTGACTTGTCCTTGAAGAAAACAAAGGCATTCTAGGCCAAGGAATCCCGTTCCGGGTGAACGGTCATCGATACAGAGCGGGTTGAATACCAGTTATATTCGTATGTAGGGTGAGCACCCTTTCACCGATATCATATGCTTCCAGATACATTCTCTCACTAGCCCTGGCTGATCTGTTGGTCATACTGGTGTGTGTACCCGTGGCCACGATTGTCTACACGCAGGAGAGCTGGCCCTTTGAGCGGAACATGTGCCGCATCAGCGAGTTCTTCAAGGACATATCCATCGGCGTGTCCGTGTTCACACTGACCGCCCTGTCCGGCGAGCGGTACTGCGCCATTGTGAATCCCCTACGCAAGCTGCAGGTGAGTTATTGTCGAGCGATATCTCGAATGTGATAACACATTTTCTGCTTCCCCAACAGACCAAGCCGCTCACTGTCTTTACTGCGGTGATGATATGGATCCTGGCTATCTTGCTGGGCATGCCCTCGGTTCTGTTCTCCGACATCAAGTCGTACCCCGTGTTCACAGCCACCGGTAACATGACCATCGAAGTGTGCTCCCCATTTCGCGACCCAGAGTATGCCAAGTATGTTGATAAGTTTCCCGGCTCTTACAAGATCCATGACAAATGGTAGGCTCCGCCCATTATCTAGCGTCTGCCACCAGAGGGCATTAATCATCGCTGCAGCAAATCCCAGCAGCTGTCTTTTCCGCTGGCCGATGCAACTGCTATTACCTGTTTCTTGGAACACCTCTCCTCAATGCCGTACCTCCTTATTGACGTGCTTAAGCTCGCAAGCCCGGCAGGTGAACTTAATTCCTTTCGCCATCAATGTAGCTGAAGTGCGGCAAGCTGGAATCCTTTCGTGCGGCAAGCGTCAGCTGTTGCCACATAATCTGCTTGTGATGTAATTTACACAAATCCTGTAGGAGGTCCTGGCAGCTGTAGTCGCCCTCAACTGGTCGCTAATTTTTCATTTACGGCATGCCGACATCCCTTTTCTTTGTACCACTTGGTGGCATGTGTTTCGACCACACTAAGAGCCGCAAAATGGCGAGGAGGCGTTCAGAGTTTGTAAGGCGAGGCCCTCCTCTTGATTATATGGCTCTCAAGCAGAGGCGGAATTTAATGTCGTCCATTCGGGCACTCTTAACGCTCTGTCATGTAGCTCGAGTTTTCGAGAGAATTCGCAAAGTTCATTATTGCGAGGGGAAATTGAAAATACGACCTTCGAGCGCCATGGAAACTGTTTTTTGTTCCTGTTCAAGCCGGAATGTAGACCAGGCCTACTGATAATCTGCCATGCTTCCGAGTAACTCTCTTCCAGGTTCATGGTGGCGGGCAAGGCACTGGTGTACTACCTGTTGCCACTCTCCATCATCGGAGCGCTCTACATCATGATGGCCAAGCGGCTCCATATGAGTGCCCGCAACATGCCCGGCGAGCAGCAGAGCATGCAGAGCCGCACCCAGGCGAGAGCCCGTCTTCATGTGGCGCGCATGGTGGTGGCATTCGTGGTGGGTAAGTCATCGCATTCCGCATTCCGCATGCACGCCAAGCTACTTCCCCCATCCCGCATCCCAAACGCTCCACGGATCTCTAATTGGCTGGCCACTGTCCTTGCAGTGTTCTTCATTTGCTTCTTTCCGTACCACGTGTTCGAGCTGTGGTACCACTTCTACCCAACCGCAGAGGAGGACTTCGATGAGTTCTGGAACGTGCTGCGCATCGTCGGATTCTGCACGAGGTGAGTGGAGCAGTAGTAGCGCGCTTTCAGCAGTTTTCGGGCATCAGAGGAACATTTTTCTTGAGTCCATTCCTGCATTTGCCATGCAAGCGTCGCAGGATCCCATGAGGGGCTCTAAATTTATGGTCACCACCGCACTTGGTCACATCAATTCGTAAAAATAATTGGGAACGATTTCGCGCTTGTACATACGAGTATACGCTTTTCAGGGATTTCCCCTAACGTTTTATGAGCACTCTTTTGTGGCATTGCCCCGGCTTCTGACTTAATTTTAAATTAAAACAGATTATGCATGGGTACCCCGCTCTCTTAACTTTCACCAGTACACTTTTAGTGCATTTATTTTCGTTGACAGTCCGCCCACCCACAACTTTCTGTCCCGCCCCTTTACTATGGAAACCAATTTGGACGTCACTTAGCGCACTTAAACTCGAAAATAATGCAAAGCCATTTGCATTCTGGCCAAATGGGTGGACGTTAAATCCAGTATCGTGTCACCAAAAAGAGCAGAGCATCAGAGGAATAGTGTAACCACTCATTCACTGCGACTCGCAGCCTAAGCAAGTGAATAACCCCCAAAAAGCATGTTGCTGTTGAATGTCCTTTCAAATGATTTTTCTGTTGGGTTGGATGTCTGTAGAAGACCTATATCGGTGTACTATGGTGTAAGTACTACCGTCACTAGACCAGTCAATGTGGCCAACAAACGCAGATTGAAGTTTAAGCTTAAGGGTATACGAGGTTCGTTGAAGAGTAACTGATCGACTCGGCTGTGGTACTGATCCACAGTATGTATACCTTATGAGTTTGCCAATGTCTCTCTCTGCGTTGACTGAAATCTGCCTGAAATCGCACACCCTCTAACCCATACCCTGTGACAGGGTATAACGAATTTACTCAACGACAGTTGGCAACTTCAGTTGGTAGTTTCAGTGCCGAAACTTGAACCGTTTATTGGCACTAACCCGACCGAGTGTTTTCAATTTGCAGCTTCCTAAACTCGTGCGTCAACCCCGTGGCCCTCTACTGCGTGTCCGGGGTGTTTCGGCAGCACTTTAATCGCTACCTCTGCTGCATCTGCGTGAAGCGCCAGCCGCACCTGCGGCAGCACTCAACGGCCACTGGGATGATGGACAATACCAGTGTGATGTCCATGCGCCGCTCGACCTACGTGGGGGGAACCGCTGGCAATCTGCGGGCCTCGCTGCACAGGAGCAGCAATCACGGAGTCGGTGGCGCTGCAGGAGGAGGAGGAGGAGGAGGGTCAGGACGTGTGGGCAGTTTTCATCGGCAGGACTCGATGCCCCTGCAGCACGGAAACGCCCACGGAGCTGGAGCGGGCGGGGGGTCCTGCGGACTTGGATCCGGCGGGAGGACGGCGCCTGTGTGCGAAAAGAGGTGAGGCACGCTTATTGTGGAGCTGCTGGAGGAGGAGGAGGTGGTATCCTTGCAGGCCGACGAGCAGCTCTAAGCGGAAACAATTGGCCTTTGATCTCACTGTGTGCTTGCACCACTCCCATTTCGAATCTCGCACCTGCACTCTACACAATCCCCTGGCATTTTCAGCATGGCTGGACTATTTGAAAATCGCATCCGTGCCAGGTTCGATAGGATAAAAAGATTACTTTTAGCGAAATTGCATCGTTAAGTATTGCTGCTACTCTTTTTAAGCCTGCATAAAGGGAAGGAACGAGTAGGGGCACAATAGCATATTTCCAAACTCCATATTGCTGTATATACATATTTGTACCATGCAAACTTTTGCGCATAAATACACATTTAATGTAATGTTATGGTGTCCCAAACAATGTGTTAATTAAGTAAGTCCCAAGCTCATTAAATGTAACTCGTTATTACCTGGCTCAGTGCAATAAAATGGTATTATAAAAGCACGGAGCTAGGAACCCATATAGAAACACAGCCTAGCTCATTTTCAAAAATTAAACTGCATACGAGTATATCAATAGGCTAAGAGGATCTCGCATAAGGTTAATGTAAATAAATGGATTTCATAAATGTAAAAGCTTGTATATGCTGCAATTGTATGTCCAAAGTCCTTTTGGTTCGTGGAGCGTAAGGAAACAGGTATGGTTATGCACATATGTACAATCTGCTTAGGTGTTTTTAAATATTTTACTTATCCATGTTGGTTTTGTTTTCAGCTTTATAAATCGTTACGAGAGTGGCAGAATGCGCTACTAAACGAGGTACGGAAGCCCCTAATAAGCCCCTAAACACCAGGAAACGAGCAACCTCATGCCAACCCAAAGCCTACCGATGAGTTGGATTTAACACTGATATTAAAAATGTAAATTGAAATCAAAAATAAATCAGCTCTATGTATTGAAGATTTATCTCGCAGACGTATCTTTGTTCATTGCCCTGTGCGAAACTAAAAAATTGCGTGCATTTTGTAAACTTGGCGAGGATGATAGATCCAATTTGTTAAATCGTAACCGCAACGCCCCCAAAAAGCGTATAGCAACCTTAACTGGTTTCGTTATTCCAATTTATTTAGGAACTCCGCCACACCACCCTTATCATGGCCAAATCGCCAAATTGCTTTGAAGTTTTGGCCCAGTGAAACAACTACAACTACAAGTGCACAAGCTCCCTTGGCGCCATCCAATCCCACCCATCGTTCGCACTAGCAAAGCAATTTGTTTATTTGGACAAAGGAAATCGGCAGGACGAGCCCAGAAAAGACAATAAATACAATCTGGCCCCAAGCACACGCAAAATTTCATTATGGCATGCCAATCAGGAGGTCACAGGCCACAGCCACCGGAGTTGCTGTATGTAAATTGGCCAAACACGGCATGTATTATCAGAGGACATCCCGTCCTCGCAATCGCAGGCTGCCCCTACAAATGTCGAGTCCATAGTTATTGACATCCAATAAGTGGGACCTCAAAATGCTCTGCCCAAAACAAAGGCTGCTGTCCATCCGCTGGCCAAGCAGCCGATTGACCCATCGCCCCCTCTAAATCACAGCTGAAGGGACCGGGTCGGAAAATTCCGACCCTGGACCGACGTCGCAAAATTTCTGAGCTGCGGCAGGAGCAAGCATTTGCAAATGGGCGGGGGTCAAGGGGCATTAGATTTATGCCAACGTAACTGAGTTCACCACAGCCTGCTGCCGTCAAAGGTAAATGCGAATACCCGGGTATAGCCGCAAATGCGGCGTTGATTCGCAGTCAACTAGGCTCCGATTTGGAGCGGCAATGGCGATGTCCATCGCACAATTAGCTAATTTCACTCTACCCACGTCCAGTGGTCTGTCCTTTTGGGTTGAGCAGGACTCACCGCTGGTTACGGTCGGCTGAGTTGAAAGTTTACGTCCATCGAAGGACATGGAGCCATTGAGTTAGTGGCCATTGAGTTGGACAAGCGCATATATGTACCAATAATAGAGCTTACTACGGAATAGGTATAAAAATGTGGATATGTATCTTTATGTCTTTAAAAATTCACATATTCATGCCCGTGGGTTCGTCCTGCGAAAGGTGTCGATAGACCCGCCTACAAGTGGCTCTAAGTGATCTATTGCATCTATTGTAGCATCAATGGCGAACTAATAACTAACAATTAGTTGACTCTCCACCTTCTTGAATCTTATCCCTTATGCGTTCACGCATTCATAAGTCCTCATTACCAAAGGCACGCCTAAGTACAATTGCTTTTCCTGTTGCGGCTTCCCTTTCATGATGGACCAACACGCAGGCTGATTTTCCGGTTTTCGGAGGACCAACGGTGACGTCCTTAAACTTAAGTGCTGCTGGCAATGCAAATGCCTGTAAATGGTTATTCTTGGGTCGTGGGCCCAGGAAAGTGTGCTGATAAGAACCCTCTACAAGCAAAATAACAGCAGCGCACACAGCAAAAAGGATCTACTTTTTAGTACCCTTGAATACAAGCATAACAATAGTGGTTATACGATTAAATGAGGCCTAGAATATCACAACACATATTTGAAGTATGAATTTGTTAGGGCATTTCCGCTTCGGCTCGAATTTCGTGGTACGTGACCTTGTTAATTGCAGAATCCTGCAGAAGAAAAAGGAAAAGAACGAAGTCGCAGCAGATGTGCTAGAAAAGGGCAAGACTGAACTTTCGTCATGTGCGTTTATGGTCGACATGCGACACATGTTTTGATTGCCAGTAAATTCCTATTTGGCCAGCAAGTTATCTCCGACCTCAGTTGCTTTATGGTCTGCACTTTCTTGGGATTGAATAAATGGCCCAAACTGGCGTTTAAGCCATCAAATTATCCAGCATAAAGCTTTAACAGTTCGCCATTTCCCAAGCCACTTGCCAATATATCATCGCGATTATATAATGAATTTTAAATGAACCAGACGCCCTTTTTTCGGCTGTCTCCACTTTCAAGTTTATTGAATTTCGCTCGCAAGTATCTAATTTCGTTTGTTCGCATTCGCATTCGCATTGCCATTAAATTAAAATCAATTGAAATAGGTTGCCGCGGGGAAGCGGGGAAAAGGGAAATGGAATAAGTTATGAGGCCAGAATTAAATCGTAAGGAACGCATGAGTTCGGGAGGAGAAAGGACAATATACTCGTAAGGAGCATTAAGTGTAGCGCCAACATTCGTAGTTCAACACTCGAAGATCTGATCGCTGAGCTAAGCAAACTAATTACGTAAATAATTAATTATCATTAGTATACATGCAGTCTGTAACTCTTTGTTTACCCTCAGCAGCCAGAGAATGTGTAAAGCATCAGCGTCGTAAATATAATCAAATCAGAACTTTTCATGCGCAAGGTATCGCGCACTTTTTGGGACGCGAAGTGGGACTCATATAATAGGCTTATGCCTCGCGAAAGCCGCTTAAGTGCACACGCACTTTATTTAATGACAGTTTTACTGAAAGAACAACAATTGCGAAGCAACATTTAAATCAGGTGGGCAAGGATTTCGAATGCTATCCCTAGAAATGTACCTTTCCCATGGATTTGACTCTTGGCGGTGTCATAATCATAGATCATCACAGATGATTACAGTATTCATGCATTTTCCATGAACGAAAGATTGTATTAAATTTTATGAAGGAGCGAATTACCATAAACAAAATGAAAGTCCTTGAAAGAACGCCTTAGCGAAACAATGCCCTCGTCACCTGTCTTGTGCGTCATCGAAAATCAAATGAAAAGTAATTAGTCAAGACGTTTTCGTGTTCGGCATTAATGGGATTTACTTAAAATGACCGCCACGCTGATTTCAGGCATCTCAAGCAATTTTCGGGCAAAAAATCTCAAAAGCAAAGAAGGTCGAGTAAGAGGCTTTCTTTTTTATATCACCTAAAAGCTACATACTTCAATATTTCGCAACCCTTTTAGCTTTCCCATAAACTTTCCGAAAGGCAGTCGAACCTGCGCTTGTTGTTTTAGCCGCTTCACATCACCATAGAGCCATTAAAAGTCAATTGGGCCAGAAATGCAAAGAGCCAGGCAGTTTAGAGTCGTCGAGTATGTGCCAGTCGCACAACTTTCTGGCCTCTCGGCAAATAACGCAAATAACCAAGGTCTGCCCACGTGCAGGCACTGGAGCCCACATATTTTGGCCCGGCAACATTCCGCTAAATTGACTTCAAACTTGCAAAGTTGGCCCCCATCCCAAAATATTTGGTATTGGCACGGATCCATTCATGTAAGGGGTGTGCTCTCAGATTGCCGCTACCCGTATCCCGGGGTAACCAATAGTCTGCAGCCGGGCAGTTTAAAGCATTATTCGGTTTCCACATCCAACATCGATTGAGTGCGAGCTCTTGGCGCTCAAGGAGCATTGTTGGAAGACCGCGGCTTCAAATCTGGACGGCGCACAATGCACTTAATTTCCGACATCTCGGACTGTCCCAACTTGGCGCACTCCTTTGTTGCTGGCCCTGGCCAAGGATACACATCGGGGGCTGCCCCGAGCCCGAGGCGGTGAATTACTTGCTTTCTTTATGGTTATGGCCACTTCTTATTGTGTTCCAATCGCAAAAAGGCTCGTTGCGGCGTTTGCCCACCATTCAATGAGTATGCAAATAACGCGCAGTTCGTTTTTATGGCCGGGGACAGCTGACACTCCAGGCAAGGTGATCCAAAAGACGTGTCCAAGTGCTGTCCAAATGAGCAAACATCCATCTTTGGATCGGTAGATTCGATGGTTTCGGGGTTGACTTACCATTAGGCGGATGGTTCCTCGGGCACAAGGGCGTCGTTAGCATAATGATGAGTAAACTTACAGGCGATTGGGAAATAATTAGGAGCTCATTTATGTGACACCAAATCTGGTCCTCCAAGTTTTAGCCCTATTTATAAGCTATTTGCAAATTGCAACATTATCACGAGCGCAGAAGTTTGCGCTCGCATTAAAAATTCCGACAAACATTGTCAAGCAATGTCCAACTTTTGGGGCTGTCAAAGCTCACTCGCCAAAATTGTGACGATGGTAACCAGAGCGTGGAGCCAACTTTCAGAGCCAAATTATTTTTCGGCAAACAAAAGTTTCCCGGCGCGTATCTGGAACAGCAGAAACGACGGAAAAACTAAAAGGTGCCCACTAACCAATGATGGAGGTGGAAGGTGGGCAACGCAACGATGAAATTAAAATTTAATCTAAAAGATTGTGGAATTCTGGTATTTTTAGTCGCCCCATCGCTTTTCGTCGGGCAGGTTTTTTCACTAACATCCAGGCTGCCATCGGCACGCGTCGCTGAGCCAGTTTCCCTAAAAGATGGCAAAGATGATACTAAGACCAAATTCGGCATTACCATTCCGGAGTGCGTGTGCATGGTGTGAAGGCCGGGGTGGAAAATGGGAGTTGCCTTATCATCCGGCCGCCTTTATGGCTGCCTCAAACCGCTTCGAAGTTGGCTGGCTGGTATCTAAGTATTAACCTGCTCGACTTTTAGTTCGAAAAAGAAATTAAAAGTTTCTAGCTGGTCTTGCTGTAGTTCAAATGAAATTGTAATACTGGGTGCTCAAAGCTCATGCTTTAATTTAGGTAAGGAGTTAACATTCCAAATTTATAGATCTGCACCCGGCTCGCGACTTCAACTCCGATCCAAAGTCTTTCCGATGCGAGACAATACCCTGGCGTTTTTAATTCGGGCACAAGCAAAACAGAATGATTGTCGAGTTCCTCGAGGAATTTCAACATTCTTTGGCATATCAATAGAAACTGCCAAGACATACTTTAAAATCAAAAACCAAACTATTTTTGGGCGTAGTGGGCGTAGAATAGTGAATTGTCTTCATGCTTAAGACTAATAATTAATTCGTTATGCAAAATTTTAATTCCAGTTCATGAGATAGATATATAGCAAAATTTTGAAACCATATCTCATTGTAAGGGTAAAAATAGGTTTCTCTAAAATTATATGAAGCCAGTTCAAATCATGAGTGGATTAAATCTAAGTGCTGTCAAAATAATGTTTGTTTCAAACATATCATGAACATCCTTTACTCTTCTAGTAACTGATATATACTCTTACTATAAACCCAACAAATGCTAAACCACGACTGCTTTACATAAACAAAAGACATCGTCTCTTGAAACAACGTTACTCCTACATTATTGTCCCCCAATGCTTTATTTAAGAAACATGGTTTTAGGAATGGAACAATAACAACACCTCTTTACCTTAGACAGCAGAAGCAGTGATGTTTTTACAGACCACCACTTAATTGAAACGGTGACAGGAAAACCACATTCTATTTATATGATAGTCTCTGCTGTGGGTTTTGTGTGCTTAAAACACCATAATCGCCGTCGACGTTTGTTGCGTGCTCATTAAAATTATTATTTATTTTAAGTATTTGTGATACCTACGCACCTCATGTTCAGTGCTTGCCTAGGATGGCATGTTCGCAAGTTCATTAATTAGGTAGCTCCGAATCTCTAAACATACTATTTTTTCTTTATTTTCTTATTAAGTAATTAAATGTCGTTCTAACTATTTACAACTTTCTTCTTTTTGTTTTTTAGAGACTGTCCCAAAGACCTTCTTTTCAGGTTAGCCTTTGAATGCTTAATAACAGACGTCTCTTCCTCGGACTCATTATCGCTGTCCCTGTTGGCCAAAAAAGGAGATTTCAGCGTATTATTCAATCAATGAATATGAAGTTAAACTTACCCCACAGTAGGCATCTGATCAAACATGTCCTCGTATTCATTGTCAACAGATGTTGTGTTGGCGCTCTTATTTTCACTGACGTTTCTATCCATTTGAAGTTCAGCGGCCTCCACAGTTTCTTCTAAAGCCACTGAATCGCTTTCGAACTGTCGGATAAGAATCTTAGTGGCCTTTGATTTGACGTAGCATTGGTAGAGCAGCACTGTGGTCTCGCAGTCATGGATACGAACGTATCGGTCTAGGCTTGCAGAGCTCAGGAAGCGGCCGGAGGTGTCTAAGTGAAGGTCACTTATCCCCCCTGTGAATCCCTTGTACGTATGCACATGTGTTTTCATGCGTCGAGTGTCAAAGGCTTTTAAAGCACCCATTGTGGTGCCCGTGTAAATAAAGTTTCCTTTTGCCACTAGAGTCGTAAAGCTCATACCGTGCTCCTCGCTGGCAAAGCACGCAACAGGTCTACGCTGCTTGCGCGTGTCATATATGCGAACATAGCCGGTTCGCGAGCAAGTGGCCAGCACACTTGGCCCATCCACAAAGCCGATATCGCTGTCCCAAACCGGAACCTCCAGTTGCAGATAGTCGTTGGGCAAATTTTTTGATGTGAAAATCTGTTTTCCGTCGGAATTCAGATCGTAGACCTTTAGATTGTTTTGACGCTCTTTTCCACCAGTGGCTACAATGCTCCTGACTTGCGCGCATTGGCGCAGGTGGTCCATTTGGTCACCCGTGGTGATAACCACGGGCTCGGACTCGTCGCTCGCCTCAAGCTCCAGGCTCTGTATCTGTCCGTTGCCGAAGCCGGCAATGAGCTTGTCATTGTATCGGGCCAAACCAACGACTGGTGCGGCGTTGAAGGATACCGTCTTCTTAGAATGGCCCTTCTCTGTGAAGGAGTGAATCTCCACGGCGTCCTTGGCGCGGCCTAGAAGGATATCCGTCTGATCGTCGTTGCCGAAAGCCAGAGATGTGATGCGGGAATCCTTATCCAAGGCGCTCAGATCACTCAGGTTGATTTGACCATAAGGGGTCTTGTCGGAAGCAGGCACCAGGTCTAAAAAGTTCAAGTAATTATTGCAAGAAGTTCGCTAAAGAATACGCGGACTTACGTTTAAAGGAGCCCGTGTGTGTGCCCACATACAGTTCGTGCTTGGCCGTGTAGTTTACATGTTTGATATTTGCAGTAGTCCACTTCATCTCAATACGCTGTTTCTCCCAGTACTTGCGTTTAAAATGTTAATTGATAAGCGGCTATACAAATTCCTGTGGTCAAAACAAATCCTACACGTGCAATAGAGATGTAAAAGACATATGCTAAACTCGATGTTATCGTTGATATCGATGTTTAATGGGCATCGATGTTTTTCTTAACATTTAGGGTATTTAAAACCTTTCAATTATAAAATACATTTTCGTTGAAAACCACTTCTCTTGTGAGAATGGAGAGATAAATGATCATTAGACTTAATTCGATAAGTACATATTTAAAGTGCGGATTTGTTGTAAGGTTATTTAAAATGCAAGGAAATAGAATGCAAACCACAGTGAGGTGATAAATCCAAATATTATAAAAATGTAAAATATTAGGATTATCGAATTTTATGCATTTTCTATTCAGTTGGAAAGCATATTTTTGTATTCAACATGGATTTATGAGCTGACTTTTCTAAGGCGTGTGGTTCCTTTGTGTTTTGTGTGCTTAATCCTTCTTGGGCCGTGATAAAAAAAAAACCTTAATAATATTGAAATACAGAAATTACTTGGAAATAATCTTCTGCTAAATTATTTTAATTTTTAGATTGTTTACTTGTTGTAAGACAATCAGCTAGTTTGCATGAATGGGTCTATCACAAAACTGTGAATGCAAGACGAAGCTGTGGGAATTCTTTCTCAACGAAACTTAAATAAAATATATTTTTTTAATGTTTTTATAAATAAAATTTCATGTACCTGTATCCACCCTACTCAGCACTGAGCAGCTCATGTGCCCAGCTGTTTGTGGGTATTTACCAACACTGCCAAGTCAATTTAAAAACATATAGTGCACATACGTAACTTGAAGTAGAAATGGCTCTCACTAAAGTTTATGATGCTGCCACAGTGTTTAAGCACATGAGTGGCATTCTAAATGTTTACAAGCCAGCCGGTATGAAGGTAACGCACGTGCGCAATGCTATTCTGAGCAACATTTGCAAGGGTAAGCCGAACGCCATCGAACGAGAAAATTGAAATTAAGGTTAGATCTGCAACAGGACTCAACGAAATGGAGCAGAGGAAACCACGCCAGTTGCGAGAGAACAGAACCCTTTTGGGCACCGGCACCGCAGCTGATCACGTACTACATAACATAGGAGAGCAGACGGATCTATCGGACCACCTTCTGTCCACCGGACCGCGTTACCTCCCGCGCGATTTAAGCTGCGCCACAGTGTCCAGCCTGGGCGATCACACGAGTGGAGTGCTGCGTGAGTCAAGTAAAATATTTTAGATCCAGAACTAAAAACATACTTTTGTAGTCTTTGGGATCAACAGGGGAACAGGCCAGTCCAGTTCTATTCGGAAAAATCGACCAGTGAGGGTCTACCACCTAATCGGGCAACTAGGCAGCGCAACCGAAAATCACCTACCAGACTCACGGGTCACAATGCGCTCCAACCACCGACACGTGTCTGCTGACAGGATCAGCAGTCTGGCCGCCTCCATGCAGGCATCCCACCAGCGTAAGATGTTTGAGCTCTGCGGTGTCGATTTGCAGACCCAGGAGGCCTACGAACTGGCCTGTAGAGGTCTCCTACGCCCAGCGGATGACAGTCAGCCCGTTGTCTACGGCATAAAGCTGATTCACTTCGAGCGTCCGCACTTCACGCTGGAACTGCACGCTATCAACGAGACGCAGGAGTACTTGGCTACGCTAGTGCACGACATGGCTTTGGACCTCCGAACCGTGGCGCACTGCTGCCAACTACGCTGCGTGCGCCATGCCCACTTTGATGTGACGGATAGTCTGCTCAGACACGCCTGGCACTTGCCAGGAATTATCAAGAACCTCCGCCAGCAACGTGACATCCTGAAGGCGCACCCACAGCTTCTGCGACAGCAGCGAGTCGAACTGCAAGCTACAGAGTAATTTTGGAAATCATTGTAGTTAATTGAATATAAATTGTAAATAAATGTAGGCAGATAATGGAAAGATATAGTATTCAATTTTTTATAAAAAAGGCAATCATGTCAAAATTTCTGGACGGACGTTGCAGATTTATCATGATTTCATGCTTCTTCCTACACGAGCACTTGATAAGAATAATCAGAGTAGTGGTTAAATTACAGTTTAAAATTTGTATTTGAATTTTTGTAAAACAATAACGTAAAAAGTTAGTTTAAAACTTTGTCAATCGTTTTAAGTATGTAATATTTCTATATCCCAAATATATCGATATATCCCATAACTTCTTAGAAACGATCGCAAAAATCTTAAATTCCACTGACTTTTTAGGATTAATAGTAAAAGATAGAGAGAATGCTATTACTTATGACCTCGACGCTGATTCAAAATTATATGCTCAAAAGGGTCAGTTGTTGTTCTGAATGTTCTGAAAACCGACTGTTTTCGGTGCTTAATTGCATTAAAACGAGATATATCAAAACTTTGTGAAATTCAATGTATCGCCATTGAAGTTTGTAATTTAAAAAGAAATCTCTAAAATTGTAAAATAGGCTATATTGTATATATAAAATAAAATTGCCTTTTCAACGGAAACTTGTCTTCCTGCTAATCTAGCAGGTTTTTCCAAAAGTATTGGACCTAAATTTTTATAAACTATCCGACAAATATTTATACCCGCTACTCGTAGAGTAACAGGAGAACAAACAGGCAAAAGGAAGCGTTTCCGACCACATAAAGTATGCATATTCTTGATCAGGATGAATAGCCGAGTCGAACTGGCCATGTCCATCTCGATCTCACGAACTACAGAAGCTAGAATGTTGGGATTAAGCATGCAGCTTCCAGAGACATAGACGTAGCGCAAGTATGTTGCCATGCCTACAAAGCGCACAGAACTTCCACGCCCACATTTTTTAAAAATATGATATTTTTTATTTTTTGATATATCTTTCAAATTTCTATGTTTGTCAAAAAAAACTTTTTGCCACGTCCACTTCAACGCCCACAAACCGCACAAAACTGTCACGCCCACACGTTTAAAAGAAATTGTGATATTTTTTCATTTTTGTATATATTTTGTAAATTTTTATGGATTTGCCTAAAATTTGAAGTTTTTTTAATTTTATTATTTTTCCCCCGAATTTCTACCGATATTCCAAAAAATGGAATTTCTTGTTCGCACTTCCACTAGCTGAGTAACGAGTATATGATAGTCAGGGAACTCGACTATAGCATTCTCTCTTCTTTTATTTTGAAAAGCTTTCTACAACCTCCTTTTGGGATATCCTTTGAACGGTTCATTGAATTTTAAACAAATGCTTATATTTAAATATAATTATTTCAAATTATATGTGGGTGATGTTTCCACCCACCAACCCTAACATCACACATTTTCCAAAATGTTTACTAGTACACTTTCTCCGTTCTCTCTCCTGAAGCATAAATTTTTTCGATTAATGTTTGAGCTCGCTATGATCGGACAACCAGTCAGCTTTTTATTTCTTCGTGTACACATAGTATCCGCCTTCGCGGATGCACTCTCCTGGCGCGTTTCGTCACTATGCGTACTGCTCTCCACAGTGATATCAGTTACAAAATGTTAGAAAATTATTTTTGATCGACGTCGTGATCTTGACTATAGGAAAGAGTTAGAATTAGTTTTTCGCACTCAAATATTTCTTTCTGCAATTTTTCGCTTAGCTTCTTTCCCGCCACCGATTCCTGCTCTTTTTCCAAAACCACATGGGCCTCCCTAAGTCGGGCCTGTGCCAGTCCCAAAAGGGATGCTCCCTCTGCTGGTGCCCTTCGTGCCTGCTCCTCCAGAGCGTGGGCGATCTCGATCAAGATGACCGTCACGTAGATAGCAAGTTTAATGCTGTACGGATCCAGTCGCTGGCATACGTTGTACAGCTCATCGCACAGGCGCAGTTTCCGTTTTAGCTGCGTGTTGCTCAGCACGCCCAATTCCAAGCCAGCCTCGTTACCATACAGTTGGATTAACGTGTGCTTTAGGTTGAACGTGTGAAAATGATTTGGATGCAACATATGGGTCAGACGGGCCAACAGAAGCTCAACCTGATTTGCGGAAGGACATCCGCCCAATAAGCCCTCAACATGCTCGGTCATGTGGGACTGCAGCTCAGACACGTAGGCTCCATCCAGCAGCATTGGGCAAGTGTCGCACTTCCACTGTGTGTTTTCGTCTAGTGGATCCACGGCCAAGTGGGTTCCTCCGCAAGTCTGATTTACATCCCCCAGACATGCCAGCGCACTTATATAGGTGCCATATTCCGTTGGATCGAGACAGCGGCTGCAGCGGCAGCTGAAGTGCTTCGTTAGTCGAAGATGGTGCTGGCGAAGTTGCGTGCCCCATAGGATGTTTGTGTATGTAATCCGTAAGTGGTCGCCCTTTCGCAAGTCACAGCCAGCACGCACAGCAATTTGCTGGGTCTTGTTATCAAACTGAAAGTCGCAGTTGGGCTGACAAGCATGCTCCATCATGCAGGCCTGCCTGAACAGCCCGCTGAGTTCCACGCCAGTCGGCAGTTCGATGACCATAAAGTTGGTTTCGATGATGCCGCATAGCCGATGCAGCATCTCCGGTCCGCAGTCGTGTAGGAGGTTTGGATTAGTTTGCTTCAGTCTACATAGAAACCGCTGTTGAAGGTAACTCACTACCCGCTGCTCTGCTTCCTCGTGCAGTTCGGTGCCCTTACGCTCATCCTCATGCGACTGCATCTCTAACAAGGCCGACCATTTCGTTGGACTCTGCCGCTGCAACAGAAGGCATTTGAGCACCAAGAGAGCATCGCCCCTAAAATAGTCGTTCAATGAGCGGACATCTGCACGAGCTGGCGAACCCGATCTTAGGCTAAGTACGCTGCATTCCAACGACTCGTGCTCGCAGCCCGCGCTGCAGACGGGCCAACGGCATCTGAAAATTGCATTATTGAAGTGGATAGACCATTGTAATTAGTATGTTTCACCTGCGACACTGGTGCTTCCCCAGACGGCATGGATTGCAACAGCCCACGCACGGAACGATAGAGGCCTCCTTATCTGCGTCGGAGAGATACCACTTGGGGCCCACCACTAGTGGCTCCTCAATGAAGACTATTTGGCCGGCTGCAATGTCCTGGGTAACCTTCAGATATCTGCCCAGCTCGGCATCCTGCTCCTCGCTGAATGGCCTGCATCTGCGCTTATGTTGCGGCCAGTGCTGCTTCTGGTGCTCTCGGTCGCAGTATCGCACCATTTTGCACCTAGTGCACGCTTGTGAGGCAGCCACCCCGCAAACAGGACATTCGGTGCTCGAGACCATTTTTTCTCCTGAACACTCCTCCTGCGTCCACTGGCACCAACTGCAACACAATGTTACGTTGGCAAGGGAAATTTTCGTTTTGACGTGCTGATCTCGGAACGTTGGCGTCTGAGGGCTTATTTTTAGCTCGTTTCTCCAAATGCCAGTCTTTCGGATCTAGCCAAGAGAACTTTTATGTGCATCTCCTTAGACATCGTCGTTCTCGATCTCTCTTTGCAAAGTGAAAAACTATTGAACCCATTCAAAACGCTTGAATATGCTTTTTATTCGCACTTTATTTCGCTTTCCTCTGTGGAATACAAAAGTTTATCGTACAAAACAGGCGAAAATTAAGAACTTAATTTGAGTGTTTGCAATTAATTTGATAAAAATTGTTTAGCTTGTGATCTCCACACAGCTAGTTCTAGTACGGTTCTTGCGGCGCGTCCAAGTCCCGGTAGTGTGATCTGGGTCGATAATCAAAACCACCGGGTCTGCAAGCAACGAGAATGAATATAGATATTGGAATTATTCACACAAGACTAAGGAGAGGGCAGAGATACAAAATATTACAGTGTTTTGTTTTAGGCTATGGATTTGCATTTGCATTTATTTCGGGCAAATAAAGGTAGTTCTAGCATTGTACAGGAAAACAGATATCATTAGTCGTATATAAACCATCTTTATATGCAGTAGATACTTTTCCTAGCATTGCTTGAATTGCTTTTAAAACTTGAGCTCGCCAACCGATAAAAGCTGCATCAATATGGCCTGTTTTTATTTGTATTGTGCTAATCAATTAGTCAAACATATCGGAATTGGCAGGCGCATCCAAATCATGGTAACCGATAAGCCGGCGCTGGTGTTCCAAAGGCAATTCTCTGCAAAAAATTTGCGACACAAGAAAGTTGTGACAAATTTCAATTTAGGCCAACAAAAGAGAAAAAGTAAAACAAAAGGGTAAGATAGAGTCGCCTAAATGCTATCAGTGTTCAAGTATGTAGGTCGGAACTGTAATCCGCTGTCGTGGAAAGTGGAATAATTGATAGGTCTAGTGTTCTGCATGTTTCTCTTTAGCACTTCAAGAAAAGATCGTCTTCGATTCTTGGATAAAGGTCGATCAAATAAAATTTAAATAAACTATTTCAAAATGTTGGGGCTGACTGCCGAGAACTGCGCATCTACACTATAGGAGTATATGTGGTACTAACCTGCGAGCGGGGGGGAAGTTACGTCCTCCACGGCCCCCACCCATCATGGGTGGGCCAAAACCGTAGGGCATTGCCGAAAAAGGTGGATACATGGGCGGTCGGTATCTAACATTTTGGGAACGAAATGAAATAATTAAATAGTTTCTTGTACAATGGGAACAAGTGCTCCGCTTACCCTCCACCCCCTCCACGGGCAGATTCCGATTCTGTGCGCTTAGAGGTGCCTGGATGTTCGGGAAGCTGCGGACGCTTAGGATCGCGCAGATAGTTGTTAAAGTATTGCACCTCCTTGCGCACCTCGTCGACCTTTTCCTCGTGCTTGTTGAAGATGTGCTTGCGGATGAACTCGGGGCCCTTAAACTTCTTACCCGACAGGGGGCACAACCATTTGTCCTTCGCTAGCTCCTGAGTGTTCGCTTGCACAAACTTTTCCACCTCGGTTTCGGGGTCCTTGGCGCCAAGATCCTTAATCTCTTCGTCACTCAGTAGAACAGTCTTAGTAAGAAACTGTTGCAACTTGCTTTCGTAGGTCTTGATATACTCTTGCACGTCGTTGTTGGTCACCCGAACAGGAGCTGGGCCGCGGGCATGGATAATGCCGCAGCGGTTTGGCATCTCGTCTTCATATGGATACTCACAATGGTTGTAGTAGTCCACTGAGTGCACTATACGCAAGTAAAGCACAAGGCGGTCAAGAACGGATATAAGTTGCTCGTCACGCTCAATGGGTTCGCCATCAGTGTCCTTGTTTTCGCCTGTAAGGCCGAGAAGCTCTTCTTCCTCGGCTGACGCCTCTTCGATAAGGTAATCAGTGATGTTTTGCAGCACCGGGTTTTTTGAATTGAAGCCATACGTGGAGCCGCTGCCATTTTCAGTGGACTCGTCCGCTCGGGAGGGATGGGAATCATCTGTCGGCACCTCCGCCCATAGTCTGAACCTCTCATCCAGATTCAAAGCGATCTTGGCGCACAGTTTAATGTCTGATCGCAC